CACTATGCCTGGCTTTATTTCTGCTTTCATGTCTCCATCAAAGTCTTTCATAAAAGGGAGTCAGGGCAGGAACCTGGAGGCAGAACCTGGAGCAGAGGCCATGGAGGAGCGCTGCTTACTGGCTTGTTCCCCATGGTTTACTCAGTCTGCCTTCTTTTTCCATCTTACCCCTCACCCAAGGGTGGCACTGTCCCCTGTGGGGGGGGGGGGTCCCATCAACATCAATCACTAATTTAGAAAGTGTGTCACAGGTTTGCCCACAGGCCCATCTGGTGGTGAGAGCATGTTCTCAGTTGAGGTTTACTCTTGCCAAATGACCCTAGATTATGGCAACTTGACGTAAAAGTAGCCAGCACACCCAGACAACTGGTAGGTAAAACATTGTTCCTAGGTATGTCTGTGAAGATGTTTCCAGAAGCGTTTGGATTGTGAGTGGGGGGGCTGAGTAAGGAAGGCACACACCCCACCAGATCTGAGGGGTGTCACTCACTGGGCTGAAGAGCTGGCATAAACAAAGGACCGGAGGAAAGTTCTCTCTCTTCCGGAGCCTGGGGCCAGGACACCCTTCTCCTGTCCTTGGACACCAGAAGTCCAGGTTCTCTGGTCTTTGGACTTGTATTTGCACCAGTTCATTCCCCTCATGTTCTCAGGTGTGAGGGTCACATGTCAGGCCACGCCTCTGGACTTGGACTGAGCCACACTGCCTGCTGCCTTCCCTGGTTCTCCAGCTTGCATGCAGCATGGAGTAGAATGTCTCAGCCTGGAATCACATGGTAAAACTTGCCTAATGAACCCTTATCATCCAGTGGCCTGTCTGTCTGTTTATCTATCTATCTATCTATCTATCTATCTATCTATCTATCTATCTATCTATCTATCTATCTATCTACCTACCTACCTATCTACCTATCTATCTTCTACATATTTCTCCATTCATCCATCCATCTTTGTTCCTTGCTGATTCGGAAGAACACAAACACCAGATTCTACCACAAACTCAAATGGCTGTTTTTGTAGAAATGAAAATTCCAAATCTTTTTTTTTTTTTTTTTTTTTTTTTGGTTTTTCGAGACAGGGTTTCTCTGTGTAGCTTTGTGCCTTTCCTGGGACTCACTTTGTAGACCAGGCTGGCCTCAAACTCACAGAGATCCGCCTGCCTCTGCCTTCCAAGTGCTGGGATTAAAGGCTTGCGCCACCACCGCCCAGCTGAAAATTCCAATTCTTAACTTAAAATTGTAATAAGTTTGCTGTCATGAAAACAATATTGAAAGGGGAAAAAAATGGAAAGACTCACACCTGTAAACTTAACTGGGAAGCTACAGCAATAGAAAAAACTCAAGATACCGACATGAGGACAGACACACAGACCAAAGGGACAGACTGAGAGCTTTGGCTGGGCATGGTGGCACATGTTGGGAACCTGAGCACTTGGGAGGTTGAGGAGGGAGGGCCTCTTCTAACCTAAGGCCAGCAGGGGTAGAGAGCAAGACTGTGTCTCGACAACAATGGAATGTTGAAAAACTGGGGGGAAATGTATATTTTAACTGATTTTTAGCAAGGCTCCCAAGACCGTTTGGTGAGTCAAATAGTCTTATCGGTGAGTAATGCTGGGACAACCGCCCACAGAAGAACAGGGTGAATTCTAACCCTACGCTACACACAACAACTAGCTCTATACAGACACGTGGCCTCAATAAAAGAGTCAAAACAAAGAAGAAAATAAATGGTAAGTCGTCATGACATTGGACTTGGCAGTGGTTCTCTCCCTTGACCTGGAACTCACCAAATGGGCTAGCCTGGCCTGCAAGCCCCAGATGTCCAATTCCCTTGCACTGAGATTACAAGTGTACCTAGGCTGTTGTTGTTGTTGTTTTAACACGGGGGTCTGGGGATTGAACTCAGGGCCTCACACTTGTATGGCAAGCATTTTTATCAACTGAGCTCTCTCTCCAACTCTATAATTAATTCCTTTTATATGAAAAATCCAGAACTGGCAAATCTATAATCCATACAGACAGGAAGAGGATTAGTGAACTCCTAGAGGGTGGAGGAAGCAAGAGTGGGTGGGAGCTGGAGGTTACAGAATATTCTGGAGCCATGAAAAAGCTGAAATCTGCACCCGCCTGGCCCTGCTACAGTGTGGTCCCACAGAGACCATGGACTCAGTCTGAGATCCTAAGGGGCCAGTGGTGGCTGAGTGGGAACTGGATTCTCTCTAAGGGCATTATGAGAAGAATGGTCCTTCCCCACCCTCCCTCTCCAGCTTCATGTATCAAGCAAAAAGAGCTGACCAGATCCCCTGGAAGGGAGGGGAATAAACTCTCTTCCCATCTGTTGAGAATTAACCTCCGAACCATTTAACCAAACATTGGCTTCTCTTGTCATTTGATAAGGTGCATCCAGCCGAGGGAGATGGGGGAAACTGGGAGGTTATTCTTTCAAATTACGTCAGTGGGGGTTTGTTCCTGCAGCTGAGTCCAGCCAGAGTCCCGTCTGGGACATCACATCACCAGCAACACACTCAAGGACAGGCTCAAATGCTTTCCTCTGCCTGGGAGTTCAGGCATTCATAGGGATATAAAAAAAAAAAAATCAAGAGGGATTTTCAAATACAGCCCATGCTTTCTGCAGGCTGTCTGCGCTGAGCCAGTGCGGCAGTGAGGGGCGATTATGGAGGAAGGAATGGTTTGTGTCACCGTCACACGGAAATGTCCAATGGCTTTTCTGCACAGACAACACCTCTCTGTCTTCCAGAGACTATGTGCAGACTTCCGGAGCTGTCGGGGACCTCTGAGACCATCCTGCCTGCCCTCACCCCCCACCCCCCCTTGAGTCTCGTTTCTCTGCAGAATGGGCCAGCACAGTCTAGACAGATAGGGACTGTCAGCGCCAGCCAGCCTGCTTCTGCTGGCGGATCAGACTGCTCGCAAGGACACCAGGCCCTGGTCAGAAGATTGGGAGCTCAGTCAGGCCTCAGATGTTGTCGTCCAGCCCTTCCTCTGGTCTCCTTCTGTCCTCCAACCAACAGAAGCAGGGTCCCCTACCATACGTAGGCCCTTTCCTGGCCCAAATGAGGCCACAGTGGAGATGTGTGGAGCACTGGAGACAGTTAGAAGTCTGTCTTGTGTGTGACCATGGGTCTTCCTCTATGGGCCTCAGTTTCCCCATGAGTCAGAGGAGCTGCATGAGATGATCTCCAAGATCCCTTTCCACTCTGCATAGTGGTTTTTTTTTTTCATCCCCCCCCCATAGATTCCTTTGGGAGGCAGGGAGGATTGTGTGTTTCTCAACACAGACTTTGGTGTAAGTGTGTACACATTTACGTATGTGCACTTATGTGTGTAGACATACATGTATACACATGTATGAGTGTACATGTGGAGGCCAGAGGTTCTTGTCAGTTATTTCCCTCAATTACACTCCACCTTTTTTAAAAAAGTGTGCATGTGTGCGTGCGTGCGTGCGTGCGTGTGTGTGTGTGTGTGTGTGTGTGTCTATGCCTAGGTGGGCACCTGCCATAGCAACTTGTAGGGAAGTCAGAGAGACATTTTGGTGAGTCAGCCGTTGCCTTCTGCCTTGTTGGGACGTGTTCCTGCTGCGGGGCCGTTTTCTGGGCGAGCTGACTTGCAAGCTTCCCAGTGATTTTCCTGCCTCTGTCTCCCACCTTGCCATAGGAGTGCTGGAATTACAGATGTGTGCCATCACATCTGGCTTTTTGTGAGAAGGATATTTATTTTATTTTTTAAACAGTTATCATGTAGGAGTAGTAAAGTTATAGAAACTTAAAGCTCTTATTTTTAGTTTTTGTTTTATATGCATGCGTGCTTTGCCCAAATAAACATCTGTGTTCTACTATGAGTGTGCCTCATGCCCATGGACTTCCTGGAACTGGAGTTACAGGTGGTTATAAGCCACCATGTGGGTGCTGGGAGTCAAACTGGGGTCCTTTGGAAGAGCAGCCAGTGCTCTTAATGCTGAGCCATCTCTCCAGCCTCAGATTTATTTTATTTTTAATTATGTGTATGTATGTCTCTGTGTGGGTGTCAGATCCCTTGGAGTTGAAGTGACAGGTGACATTGTGAGCCTCCTGATGTAGATGCTGGGACCCATCTTGGGTCTTCTGCTTTTAACTGCTGAGTGGCATCTCCAGCACCTCACACCCAGTTGTTGGGGGTGGGGTGGGGATGTGAGGATCAAATCTGGGTCTCCAGGCCTGCATGATTAGGACCTCTATCATCCAAACCATCCCCCCAGTTTCTGCTACTTGATTTTTTAAAATTTGTTGAGATTTATTTATTTTCATTCCATGTGTATGGCTGTCTTGCATGTATGTGTGTATGTCTGTGTACCATGTGCATGCAACGCCCTTGGAGGCCAGAAGAGGTCATTGGATCCCCGGGAACTCGAGTTACAGATGTTGTAAGTCAACATGTGGGTGCTGGAAACCAAACCCTGTCCTCTGGAAGAGCAGTCAGTATTCCTAACCACTGAGCCATCTCTCCAGCCCCCATTTTAAAAGACAAGTTCTCTCGCTGGACCTGGAGTTCACTGATTCGGCTATACTGGCTGGCCAGCGAGTCCCATAGATCCCTCTGTCTCCTCCTCCCCGGCACTACCATTACAAGTGCGTGCTGCTGTGCCTGGATTTTAAAGTGGGGGCTGGGGATTTGAACTCAGATCCTCAGGCTTGCACAGCAATCACTTTACCAGCTGAGCCGTCTCCCTGTCCCCTTCTTTGTTTTCCTTTTTCTCTCTTTTTTAGGTAGGATCTCACTGTGTGGCTCAGACCGGCCTTGAATTGACTGTGTAACACAAGCTGACCTTTGACTTGTGAGCCTCTTGCCCCTCCCCCCTCACTGCTGGAAGTACACAGACAAATCATTACACACTGCTTCAGCATTGGCTTTTTTTTGAGACTTTTTTTTCTCTGCTCCTCTTAGGGACCTCAAGCCTGTTTGTCAGACCATCTCTTCAGGACCCAACTTGCTGAAATGTCGTCGTCGTCGTCGTCGTCGTCGTCGTCGTCTGTCTGTCTGAGTTATTTGGTTTTCGGAGCCAGTGAGGTCTTGCCTGCCTCCTTCCAGACTCCCAGATATTTCTCGTTGGTCACTTCTGCCCTGGTTGGGGAAAGACAAGAGCCCTCGACCCCCAGCTCCCTGCCCCTCTACCCCCACCCCGAGAACTGGCTAGAGGCCAGGCCCAAGCTACTCAGGGTCATGAGAAGCCTTAGTTTGGATGAGGAAGCAAAGCCATGGCTTGGGATACTTAATGGTAGGAAGAGGAGGGCACTCAGACTGGATCTGTTGGACCCTAAAGCCATATACCGTATCATTTTTGCCCCCAAGTGACCCTGTCATCCTGGTTCTTCGTGGCAGAGACCTGCTCCTGGGAGAGAATTCTGGCTCCCTGGGGACAGGAAAAATTGATGACAATAAGGGCAGAGTCAAGTGAAGGGCTTGCTCAAAAGACCCACTCTTCCGGCAGCCAGGCCAGGAGAGCGAGCACATGAAACGGGAAGCATCCAAGTCCCGGCTCACAGTTTTATAGATCCGCAGGACTCCTTGCGAAGCCCGCATTGAGCAGCGCAGTAGCCGAATGGACGCAACCTCAAGCTCCATTTCTAGCACACGGACTCGACCCTGTGCAAGTCCCTCCCACTCTCAGCTTCTTGGCTTCTTAGCCTGAGATTACCAGCCCATCTCAAATGGGGGTGGCGGGGCGAGGGCGAAGGACCCTCCGTGGCTGCCATAGCAAGAACTCGTTTTCCTCTTTGCACTCACGGCACCCCTGGTGTCAACATTTTCATACCTTCAGAGTCTTTCATCATCCCTCCCGGAAGGCAGGGCTGCCTCTGCTTTCAGCTCAGCCGAGGGAAACTGAGGCTAATCCTTTAGGGTTCGAGTCTGAGGGAGAACTGAGGTCTCGTTACAGCATGCTTGCTGCCAGCTCTCTTTCTTCTGGTCCTGTGGGGAGAGGGGGTCTCCATGGGCAGCTCAGCAACCAGCTGTGGCCCAGATGTGGAGACCTGGCTGGCCACAAAGGAGGTGGGTGTGTGGGAACATCTCCCACTTCCTCCCTTGAAGATAAATGGTTCAGGGGCCACTGGAGGTGTCGAAGGCCACAGCTGCCCCAGGAGCTTTCCCAGGACGGGAGCTTTGCTCCAGCCCTGGAAACAGTTCCTACCTTGTGAGATGGATGTCTTAGAAGACAGAGTGAGAGGCCTGAGCGCCACCTCATCCTCTCACAGCATGGCTCTCTAAATAATTTTGTATAGGCCCCAATTCCTGTGTGTCTGCAGCTGGGTCTATGTAAAGGAATGGATGCTAAAAGTGGATGCCATCTTGCTCTGTACTTATTTTTTTGTATGTGTGTGTATATGATGTATGCGCATGTATGCATTCTCATGTACAACTGCAGGGTGCATGTAAGCTACAGCTTGTGTTATGGCATGCACGTGGCAGTCAGAGGACACGTTCAGGTGTTGGTCCTTGTTTGAGACAGAGTTTCTTTGTCATTTGTCACTGAGTATGCTGAGCTAGCCCCGGAATTTCCAGGGGTTTCCTTGTCTCTGCCCCTGACCTCACCATAGAGGCGCTGGGATTGTAGACATATACTACCTTTCCCAGACTTACATGGGTTCCAGGGATTCGAACTCAGGTCCTCATGATTGCATGGTAAGCTATCTCCCCACCCCCTTGGTCTACATTTTGATCATTTGGCCCAACATTTTTAACCCTTTTCTCTGACCATAGAATGAGCAGAAACACACAAACACAAAAAGCAGCCACGCAGTACACCTGTGTGTGCGTATACACAGTCACACATTCACATGTGCGTATGCACACACACACACACACACACACACACACACACACACACACACACCCCTCCAGGAGCAGCCATGAGCTCCCTCCAGCCCCTCAAGAGATGAGGGAAGGAAGCTGAGTGCCATATATCATTTCTCTCCAAACAAGCAATGTCCTTTTTGCCCGGAGTGGGATGGGGGTGGTCTGCAGCCATGACTGGCCTCGGGAAGGAGCCCCTCTGGCCCATATTTCACAGACACCCCAGACAGAAACTGCTGTCAGGAGCACTGTCTAATTTCCTCCCTGACTGCCGGCCCAGATCCCCCCACAAAGAGGGGCATTGTATCCCCCCTTGCACCCTTGGCATCTGCTCCGCAGAGATCCTCTGGGAGACTCGGGGAGGGGATTTGGGGGATGAAGGCACCACATCCTGTGCCACAACCTTTAGAAGGGTCACAAATTCTTGAGTTGAAAGAGCTTGGTCCTGGCTGAGGATCCTCCATCCTCCCCCATCCTCTCATAGTCCTCTTAGGTACCGCAAGGCTCCGACTAGAGCCCCGAAAGGCCCTTACCATTCATTTAAAATAGGCCAGGTCCCCACATTCTCCCAGAAGAGACATAAACTTCATACTTACTTCCTACATCTGCAGGGAGACTCGCTCACGCGGCGGGGCACACTCAGAGGTGTCTACACTACTGGCGAGATCTTTCATAAGATGATTATTCTGGGAAGAAGCGCAGGGTCCAAGAGGGTAGAGCTGTGGGAGGATGGAGGGGAGGAAAGGTGGACTGGAAAGAGACAACAGTGACTGAGTGAGCAGCGGACAGACTTTTTGGGAGGATGCTGCGACCTGGGCCTTCGCTCTCTCATTCTTACCAGGGGACATCACTGTAGAAGCTGCCTCTCCCTAGGTCTAAGTGAGGAGAGGAGCGAAGCTCATGCCCACAGAAAGCCCTCTCCCCGAGCCAGGTACTGTGCTAGGTTCTACAGACGTGACCCTGCCGTCCCGGGGCCGGGCTGACTCCGCTTGCGCTCACCCTTCTGCCTCTGTTCACTGTACCAAGGACTCGACAGAGTCAACACTAGAGACATACTCTTGTGAAGTGAACGAATCTCGTCCTCCTCTCACTGTTACTGAAGCATGACCTCCAAGTATCACAACTCCTACAGGCCTAGAGATAGGGAAACTGAGGCTCAGGGAAGGTAGATGACTTCATAAAGACCATACAGCTCATCTCTACAGAGCCTGTGCTGGTCCCTAAGCCAGTTAGTCTGGGGGCGTGTGTGTGTGTGTGTGTGTGTGTGTGTGTGTGTGTGTGTGTGTACACGCAAGGGGGGAGCCGAGGAGGAAGGCAATGAAGAATTTGGATTTCTTTGCCTACAGTGCAGAATGTGAAAGGGAAAAAAATAACTAAATCCAGCTTGCTCCCCGAGACAGCCACAGGCTCAGACACTAGCCTGCAGCTCTCCAGCCAGGTGCACTGGGTGCTTTAGAGAGGATTTGTGTTCCTGGAAAACTGGGTTTAAATCACCTTTAAGAGCACAAAGAAAACCATCCCTGTAGCCACCAGGGAACCTGCAATGTGATCCAGGAACCCTTCAGAAAATGTGGGTTTGTTTCCCTCAAACATGACATCTGTTTGGTGGGGGAAGCCAATGCCGGCCAGGAAGAGCTCCGACTCCATGGTGGGTGCCCTTCTCAGTCCCAGCTCAGCCTGCTGCCTTCCTAGTCACGCTGGAGTTAAGCCCGGCCACGGGCCCCAGCTCTGGGGACAGCCTGGAATTCTGAGCCAGCAGCTCCAGTTAGGAAATTAATAAAGACAAGCTCTCGCAGCCAGAACCATGGTGAGAGACGAGTTAGGTCATGTCTCTCTGTGTTCAATCGGATATGACTCCCAACCCTGATGTCACCTTTAAGTTATTAAGCATCACCCTTCCAGATGTGTGGAAACGGTTGACAAGCCTCTTATCAGGCATGCCCCTGAGGTTTGTTGGTGGCAGGGGTCAGGCCCTGGAAGCCGATTCTTTGCCAAATATAGGTCAGAGGTAAAAAGTCTTGTCCTAGATTCAGAGAGGGCTGGGAAGGTGAGTGATTGGCAAAGAATCTCGGTCTTATGACCACAGCAAGAGAGAGTTCTCCTGAGCTGTAGAATCAGGGTGGTGTCCCCTTGTCAAGGTCATGGCCTGCCAGATTTGTGATCCCTGAAGGCCTGGACTGTGTCTCATCATCTAACTAACCTTCAGGTCAGAGCTTCCAGTTAGTGGTCTATTTGTCTTGGAGCCAAGAAGCCAGGCAATACCACAATTTAACAGTTTCTCCATCCATTCAGCCACTCAGCCACTTACCCATCCATTTTTCCACCTATCCATCCTTCTGTCTGTTCATCCATTGGTTTATCTATCTACCCGTCTGTCCCTCCACCTGTTTGTCTATCCATCTGTCCATTCATATACAGTTTGTCCATCTATCATCTATTCATTTATCCATCTGTTTGTCTATCCATCTATTCGATTACTACATTTTGATGCAATATGTTTCAGGCATCTCACTACTAGCTAGGAATAAAATGGTCAGAGAAATACATTATCTCCCCCACCAATAGAAGAATGATAGATTGAAACGGTGGCCATAAATGCACAGACATGACACAGGAAGTCACAGATGAAGGGCCGCTGTGGATGGCATAGCAGCGTTAGCTTGGGATGTGCGTTTGAAATCATTTTGAAGGTGTGTAAAAATATGAATAGGTTCAGGGTTTGTGGGAAAATGGATTTGAGGACATCCAGGGGACAAAGGAACATGGGAGGTGGCCCAGGGAGTACACTTGCCTCATTAGTGATGGGAAGGGATGCTTAGCTGCCACATGCTCCTCTGCATGGCTGGAGAACACATAGCTCTTAATGGACAAGATTTCCATGCAAACGTAGAGATCCAAGTCACGTAAGATAAGCCAGGGCTTATCTTGATTGTCAACTTGCTGGGATCTGGAATCATCTAGAGAACACAAGGCACGTCTGTGAGCGAGTTTCCAAAGAGAACTGACTGAGGTGAGATGACCCACCCTAAGAACGGGCAGCCCCTTCAAAGATAGACCAGATATAAAAAGGCAGGGCGGGGCATGTTGCCTGGCTGAGCGTGTCTATTGCTGCTTCCGCCGCTGCCTCCGCCTCCGCCGCCGCCGCCGCCGCCGCCGCCACCGCCGCCATTCTCTCCTGACATCAGTTCAGTCTTTCATGAACTGAATGAATATTCTGTGCCTTCAGAGGAAGACTTTTGTGGACTGGGTAACTACGGGGTTCTCAGTCTCTCCAGCATACTGAGGCCATAGCTAGACTACTCCACTCCTTTAGTTTTAATCTGATAAATCCCATTTTCTCTCTGTCTCTGTCTCTGTCTGTCTCTGTCTGTCTCTCTCTCACACACACACACA